GATGTGTGGTTAGCATAGCTAGCTAGGCTATCCTCCAGCACAGCTGATGTGTGGTTAGCATAGCTAGCTAGGCTATCCCCCAGCACAGCTGATGTGTGGTTAGCATAGCTAGCTAGGCTATCCTCCAGCACAGCTGATGTGTGGTTAGCATAGCTAGCTAGGCTATCCCCCAGCACAGCTGATGTGTGGTTAGCATAGCTAGCTAGGCTATCCCCCAGCACAGCTGATGTGTGGTTAGCATAGCTAGCTAGGCTATCCTCCAGCACAGCTGATGTGTGGTTAGCATAGCTAGCTAGGCTATCCTCCAGCACAGCTGATGTGTGGTTAGCATAGCTAGCTAGGCTATCCCCCAGCACAGCTGATGTGTGGTTAGCATAGCTAGCTAGGCTATCCCCCAGCACAGCTGATGTGTGGTTAGCATAGCTAGCTAGGCTATCCCCCAGCACAGCTGATGTGTGGTTAGCATAACTAGCTAGGCTATCCCCCAGCACAGCTGATGTGTGGTTAGCATAGCTAGCTAGGCTATCCTCCAGCACAGCTGATGTGTGGTTAGCATAGCTAGCTAGGCTATCCCCCAGCACAGCTGATGTGTGGTTAGCATAGCTAGCTAGGCTATCCTCCAGCACAGCTAGCTAGGCTGCTTGAGACTGTTTGAGACCGCTAACCAGCCGAGTCTCGTTACCATCAGAGTGAGAGCGATTATGATTGGCTCTGGCTGCCACAGACGTGTTTACATTGGACTGGTTTGGACTGGTTTGGACTGATTAGCATGTTTCCACATGACATGACTCAAAACTATACAACACGATACGACAGGGCTACGATACGCCTACCTGTCGTTAAGCAGCAGGTCCTGTTAGCATGATAGGCTAGGCTAGCTAAACAACAGCTGCACCCCTGAGAGTGATTGACACACGAACTGACCAATCCGTGTTGACCTTTGACTCGTGTTTAAAACAGCAGCAGACTTGTCGACGACATTGATTGACATATCAGACAGTGCTGTTAGCATGGTGTGCTGTTAGCATGGTGTGCTGTTAGCATGGTGTGCTGTTTTGATTGGTTAAAGCCGGGACAGGGCGTGTTCCAAACCGGGACATGTTAGTGTTTTATGTTTGTGGGGAATCGGGACACGGATCTTGAAAACAGGACGCCCCCGGTGAAAATCTGGACGTCAGGTCACCCTACAGATAAACTTGGAGACACTTAGCGACAGGTCACTTTCTGATGTTCCCCTGAGACTCCATTTTGTATTTTTTCTGTAGATGTCTCTTCAGGGCCTCCGTAGTTTTTAGACCTGGATGCTGCCTGTCTGGTTTTCTTTGTGTTTGATTTTCTGCTTCCTGTTTTTGCTCGTCTGTTTCTTCTCTTCAGCTGTTTTGCTTCAGGAAGTCGGTAAGCTCGGCTCGTTGTTTGTTTGTTTGTTTGTTTGTTTGTTTGTTTGTTTGTTTGTTGCCTTCTTGAAATGAAGAGTCATAAATAAGTTCTCTCTTTATGATGTTTGATTTCTTTCCTGTCACAGGTGGATTCGTCAAAACAGGTAGGTCACCCCCCCCCCCGTCTCTCTGGTTTCAGGGCGTTTTCACACCGAACCTCAAGAAGTCTGCACTGTAGCTAGCTAGGCTATCCTCCAGCACAGCTGATGTGTGGTTAGCATAGCTAGCTAGGCTATCCTCCATCACAGCTGATGTGTGGTTAGCATAGCTAGCTAGGCTATCCTCCATCACAGCTGATGTGTGGTTAGCATAGCTAACTAGGCTATCCTCCATCACAGCTGATGTGTGGCTAGCTTAGCTGTTCAGTACAACCCGACAGAGCCAGCTTGAACAGGTGGGTCGTCCACACGTAGGCGGGTATTTTTGAACACGAGTGTCTGAACACAGACGTAAACAAACTAGCGCTGGTGCTAACGATGCTAACTGGACTTTTTACACGCTCACACACAGTTACTCACTATGTTGATGAGCAGAGACGCGTGATTGGACGATGGAGGTCATTGCTGCTTCATACAACACTCGACCACGTAAACCCCGCCGGACTTCTGGTTGGTGGGACGACTTTGTAAATGAAATGATAACTGCAGAGGAAAGGCGGGGAAATGTTGGCATGTCAAGGACGCCGTTGTTGACTTGGCGTGCTCGTGACAGCCGTAACAGTGCATTGTCGTGTTTCATGTGGACAAAGACGTTTTTGAGAACTGATTTTCTGAAACAGAGAAAAATCTAAATAATGGAACAATGGAACAAACTGGTCGATGATTCAGGCCAGCGCAGACGATCCAGAGGTGTGAAGACGCCCTGACCTGATGTCATCACTCGCTGGTTATCTGACTTGGTTTATCCTTTTTGTATCCAGACAAACAGCTGTACGGTAAGACGCCTCAGGAGTGTGTGTGTCAGCACTTTAATCTCACAGTGAAACCACCTCTTACCTGTAGTGGGATAGTTCAGGTGTTCAGCTGCTCTGAGATCATACACAGAGGCGGAGCTTTGCACTGCTGTAGGAAGCCAAGTGCATCAAACTGCAGTTCCTCCAGTGTCCACTTGAGGCTGGCTGACGTCACATTAACACTCTTGAGTTTTGCACACATCTGCATAATTAGGGGCAGGTGAGTTGACTCAAAGGTGAGCACGTTGTATGTTTGTCAGGAGGATTAACACCTCAGCTCCGCCTCTTTGCCTGTTTCTATGTCGACCGAAAGTTAGTTTGAGACAATCAACCAATCAACATGGCGAGGGCGCCCATAAAACTCTGTTTCAGACACTACGTCCATGTATTATACAAACTTTGTAAAAAAAAAACTCCACAAACTTTAGCCACTCAAAAACATTCCCAATGAAACAATAACAAGTGTTCCTACAGAGCGCCACAGGAAGGAGTCCTAAAACCAGGAGGTAAGTTAGCATTTGAGTGCCATGGGGTCTAACGTCTAAAAGTCAGCGGGGATTTTGAATGTGTTTGTGGTTAGACTCCTGAAATAAGGTCTGTGGTGAACACAAGCTGAAGAGATGTTGGTGTTTTGTTAGAGCACATAAACTACGTTAGGTAATACCTCCACCTGTGAAGTTTGAAGTTTTTACTCGTCTTTAAAAAGGCGGTTGCTAACAAGCGGCTAAATGTGACTACAGTGGTTGTCGGGGACATTAAAGGTCATCACGCCGGACACAGAGGGCGGGAACTCTCTCACTAGTCAGAGATGTCTCCTGTAGGTTTAATCTTTAGGTTAAGGTGAATATTATGTTAGTAAACTATTTATTAAGATACGCTGATTAGTTTATCGGAGATCGTCTGAAGCATAACGCTAGTGACGTCACAATCATCTGACCGTGGTGTAGTTAGCTTTAGCATGACGTTAGCTTTTTACTTCTGTCGGCCGCATTAACTCTTCAAACATCATAAAAATGGCGTTCATCTGTGAAGATTATCCTGCTGAACAAAACGCCTACGCTTCAGAAACGTGTGTTTAACACAGAGATTATTTATTAATGATCCAAAATCCAATGAAAACATCCCAGAGGAGAATTAGACCCCATGGAGATGCTACTTCCTGGTTGGCCTACAAAAATATGTCACATGGTTTGTTCTCTATAGATCCTGTTCGCTCAAACAAACAGTATGTCAGTCAGATATGGTGCAAAATCCAACAAATGTTTGGCTTCCTCCTTAAGTGGAAGCAAAATCAAAGAACGACCACAGAATCTACCCGAAGACTTGTTGACAAGAATCAGTGCAGCCAAGGGCGTCTGCAGGATTTCTGGCCCCTCCCCCACAACCTCAGCTTCCCCTGCTTCCCAGTTGACGTTACAAATCTGTTCTAAACACAGGACAGCAGAGTCGGAGAGGGAAAGCGTTTGTCAGCAGCTTTACACCAAAGAGACGATGTGACGGCTGCAGGTCGCACGCTGCCCGTTTGTTTACTGATCTTTTGCTGTCAACACTCGTCGTCCGTCGACTGCATGCATGAACAGAGCACGCCACACACTGCTGACCTCACAGCCCCTATGGTGTGATGATGCTCTCATCTTCACTCGACCTCTGACCTCCTCAACCGCTGAGGCTGATGGGAAATCATCTCCTCTGAGGTCATGTCTACTGAGCGTGCTCCGTTTTAACCTGAGGCTTATTTTAATGGTTTGGGACACATTTTGACGTTTTCTCTCTCCAGACAAAAACACAGAATCTCTCATGATCAGACTCATCGCCACACGGCTGAGTGGAAACACAAAACATGAAGATAAATATTCACAGACGATTTTGTTTAAAAAACTAGATAGAAGGTTAAAACAGCGCTGGATGTTCAAACTAAACGTGGGCAAAGTTTCAGATCAGGAGGTAAACGTGTGTTGGAGTAATCTCAGGATGAGTCTGCAGAGGGCGCTAAACGCCTTGTTATGAAACCAAGAATTTCACCAGCCGGCTTCAATCCTCTGAAACCTCTTACAGAGACTCTCTTCTCCCAGACCTGGAGAGCAGCCCTCCTCTGGCAGCCCTGCAGCGATCTGCCCCCAGAAGCTTCCAGAGAGCTGGCCAATCAGAAGAAAGTGGGCACGTGGGGAGGCGGGGCTTAAAGAGACAGTAGCTGAAATCATTTTTTCAGGAAGACGCTGAAATGATGAAATGAAGGTTTTTACCAACGTGTTCTGGTGGGAAAGTGATGTCGATGCAAAGCCTCTTTTAGATATTTAACAAACAGCTTTTAGGTTTCTCTTGGTATTGTTTTTAGTTATTGTATTAATTGTTGGTTGGGTTCTCTGGGGTTCCAGGATGTTACAGAACTTGTTTGGTTAAGGTGTTGTTTTTGAGATCTGGTGTTCACCTGTTCAGGCAGAGACGTCTACAGGAAGGTCCAGGGACGAGACCACCCTGCCCCCTCCGCCATCATCAACATCACAGGTGCGTACATCCATAAATCCCACTTACCTGTCCACCAGTCTACCTGTCCACCAGTCTACCTGTCCACCACTTGCATATGATGGGTTATCTATTTCAAGCCTCCATTCCTCCAGCTAACCACATATAAATGTTTATTTCAGTAATTGGAGTTAAATTATGGAATTCTCTCGATAATCGCTTAAAATGCTGCTCAACTATCATTCAGATATTATTTTTTTGAACATTCTTTATTCAAACAGTTATTGTATTCAATATTTTACACATTTATATTTACATATCTCAGTTGGTGAAACATGGTAATCATTTTACAAGAATTATTTACAATTGGGCAAACATATAAAAAAATAAAATAAAACACAAATAAAACTCATGGCAACATCTTCATCCGCACAAAGAGGAGACTCTTGACAAGTAGACGGAAAAAATTGCTTCTTCAAAGCAGGCATCAGATATATCTGTCCAGACACACACAAGCAATTGTTAACCTTTCACAAACATCTCTATGAATATGTCTACTGACAAGTCCAAAATAAACCAAATGAAATATACATAATGTTTTCTTTTAAATAAATTGAGATTATGTAAACTGGTCTCTTACTCTATCGGTAAATTAAGGTAAGCAATGACAGGAGCCCATAGAACCACAAACAAATCCATTTTCAGATGGAGTTTCGCTGTTATTTTCTCCATCAAGTAAACCCTCTCTAGCCTTTCTCTCCATTGGAGAAGGGTGGGAGGTAGAGGTCTAAGCCAGGATATGGTTATCATTTTCCTCGCCACCAGAAGAAGGATGTGTAGTAACCGGGCCTTTCCTTTATCCATCGATCCCTCTGGTATTAAACCTATGATGAAATATGACGCTGTAAGCAGTAAATCTACTCCTAGGATGGTTCGTATTTCTGCTTGAATCCCTTCCCAAAATGATTTCAGTTTGGGACAGTCCCAAAAGATGTGTGTATGATCTCCCACCTGTTTACAGTTCCTCCAGCATAAATTTGTCTTACTTCTGTCATATTTTGATATTATAAACGGTGTCTTGAAGTATCGCATTCTTAATTTCCAACTGAATTCTTTCCAAGTTGGACTGTTAGTTATCTTATGCCCCACTTCACACACATCCTCCCACTCTTTATTCTTAATGACCACATTCATCTCTAGCTCCCACCTTTCTTTCACATCAACAGAATTTCCTGAGCATTGTGCCTGTAAATATCTGTACATATGTGAAACTATTTTCTTCGTATTCTTTTCTTCCATGTTCCTCATCAGGAAGTCCTCTATTGGTGTGGGCAGTTGTTTAAGGGAGCTCCATTCTTTGTGTGACATTAAATAGTTCCTTAGTTGTAAATATCTATAAAAATCCTTGGGGGACAAACTAAATTTATCCTGTAATTGCTTAAATGACTTTAAGGTTTCATCTTCAAATAACTGGTTCATAATCACAAGGCCTTTTTCTGCCTAAGTATTGAACCTTGTATCTAATTTATTTGGCAAAAAGTCTATGTTTTTTGCGATTTTGACCGCTCTAGATATTGTTAATGGCGCGCCTATCATTTTCCTATCTTGAAACCAGACCTTTTGAGTACAATTCATCCATTCATTTTTTATCTTAAGTTTCTTCCATTTCATTTGTTCTAAGAATGGTATTGTCTCAAGAGGTACCCGTGGGCATGCATGTTTTTCTAGTTCAAGCCATTTTGTCTCCTCGTCTTGTATTACCTATTCGACCATCCCACAAAGTTGTGCCACCCAGTAGTATAATTAAGGTATAGGTATAGTTAAATTAATACCTCCTTGATTTTTAGGGTAATGTAACAACTTCTGTCGAATCCTAGGTCTCTTCCTTTGCCAGATAAATGTAGAAATCATTTTATCTAATGTTTTAAAGGTAGAGCCTGAAATCCATTTAGGCAAAGACTGGAAGAGGTACAACAGTCGAGGAAGTACATTCATTCTGACTGTTTCAATTCTTCCGATAAGTGAGAGCAGGAGAATCTCCCACCTAGCCAAGTCTAACCTTATCTGAGCACTCAGTCTACCATAATTAGCTTTAAATAATTCTGAGGTATCTGGAGTAATCATTATGCCTAAGTATCTAAAGCCTTGTGCTGACCAGTTAAATGTAACTTTTTTGTCCAGTTGAGAAGGCCACTTGCCAACAAGCATCATAGCTTCTGAGTTAGTTTCATTAATTTTGTAATCGGATACTTCCCCGAATTCATGTAAGCTATCTAAAAGGGCTGGGATAGAGCACAGGGGGTTATCAATATATAAAATAACATCGTCAGCATACAGCAAAATTTTGTGTGTCCATCTGATATTCCTATTATCTTAGGGTTCTCCCTCATCATTTCAGCTAAAGGCTCTATACTGATAGCAAATAACAGAGGAGAAAGGGGACAGCCCTGTCTAGTTGCTCTATTCAGATTAAAGCTCCCTGATGTATGTCCATTCACCCTGACTCTTGAAGTGGGCCCAGTATACAGCACTCTGATCCAATTAATAAAATCTATATGAAATCCCAATCTTTTAAGTGTTTGTTCCAGAAAAAGCCAATCTACGCGAGCGAACGCTTTCTCCGCATCCAGGCTGAGAAGCATCGAAGTTCCAACAGACTGTCTAGCTACAGAGATTATATTTAAGGTTCTCCTGATGTTAGTCAATCCATGTCGTCCAGGTATAAATCCTGTTTGATCAGCTTTTATAATTCTGTTAATGCATCTTTGAATCCTTTTAGCCATTATTGTACTAAGGATTTTTACATCAGTGCACAGTAGACTTATCGGCCTATATGAGGCACATTTTGTTGGGTCTTTCCCTTCTTTGTGGATGACAGAAATGATGGCTTCTGACCATGTTTTTGGTGGATCTTTCTCCTTAAGTGTGTAATTGAATACCTTTTGCAGAAGGGGTGTGACCTCCTCTCTAAACTGTTTATAAAATTCCCCAGGGAATCCATCTGCCCCCGGCGACTTGCCATTTTTAAAGATTTTTATCACTTCTCCCATTTCCTCCTCTGTGATCGGGTCTCTCATTGTTTTTGATTCACTCTCCGACAATTTGGGCAGTTGGATTTTATCCAAGAAAGTATTAATATTCCCCTCTTTATCATTTACCTCTACAGAATCATACAGCGCCTTGTAAAAATCTGAAAAAGCTTCTGCTATATCTTTAGGGCGAGATGATATTTGTTTTGAGGAAGGATTTACTATTTTTGAAACTGTCCGGTTTGCCTGGGCTTTGCGTAACTGAAATGCCAAAAGCCTGCTGGCTCTGTTACCTGACTCATAGTATCTCTGATTCAAGAATCGTAATGCACCTTCTGCCTTATATGTCAACAGGTCATTTAACTTTTTTCTATATTGATTAAGTGACTTCAGGGTGCTTTCCTTATTTGTCTTTTTGTGATCCTGCTCCAGTTCTTGAAAGAGTTTTTCAAGGCTGGCTTGTTCTTTATCTCGCTCTTTTTTCAGTTTGGATGAGAGAGCTATTATTTTCCCCTTAAGTACGACCTTTGCGGCATCCTATAAAGTAGACACAGACACTTCTCCGTTATCGTTATGTTCCATATATTCTAACCATTCTCCTTTAATTTCCTGTATTACGTCAGGGTCATTCAAAAGCGAGACATTTAATCTCCAGTGTTTAAGTCGTTTTCTGAGTCTAAATTTATTGACATCATCACTGGACTATGATCTGATATCGTTATAGGTTCTATAAGAAAGTCTGTAACTTTATAAGCATCTTGTTTTGATACACAGAAAAAAATCGATTCTAGAGTAGCTCCCATGAACCCTAGAGAAAAAAGTAAAGTCTCTGTCTTTAGGGTGCTTTAAGCGCCAGATATCTACAAGCCCAAGCTCCTCTATCATACAAGTGCTGAAATTTCTTTAAAGAAGCCTGTGTCTTCTTCGTTTGGTGCGTATAAGTTTAGAATGGTCAACCTAGTATCTCCAATTGTACCCACAATCATGACATGCCGTCCCTTCTTATCTTCATATACCTTCTCTGGAATGAGGCCGAGCGATCGATGACATAAAATTGCCACTCCTCTTTTCTTTGCATCGCCGCACGATGCGCTAAAAACCTGCCCTACCCACTCCCTTCTAAGTTTTTTGTGTTCCATATCATTCAAGTGGGTCTCCTGAAGTAATGCTATAGAACAATTTAATCTTTTCAACTGGTTCATGATTTTCTTCCTCTTTATGGGATGGTTTATTCCTTTAATATTGTAACTAACAAGATTGATTTTGTTCATTTGTTGTTACCTCAACAAAAAATAAAATGTTCACAAGTGAATTTAACCTTATTATGTTGCCACGTGTAATATGCCAGCCGTTCTCAATCTTCACAAGTATGTTTGCTGAAAAACTCTGAACAATAAGAACAAAACAGTGATGGAACCTTATTGAACCAAATAAACAATAATGAACTTCCAGTTGTCCAGTGGATCGCCCCCAAAATAAAATGAAAAATAAAACTTTTACAAAACAGTTCTCAAAAATGACGTCTTAGAGGCTCTCCACCCTCGGTCTATACTGGGTAGAGAGCTATGGCTCTCCAGGTGAAATGCACAAAGTGCAAGTGTGACGGTCCACCAGGTTCCCATAATTGAAGACATGTTGCCTTGATTGCAAAACTCTGTCCAGAGTATGCAGCATTCATATTCACTCCACTCCGACCAGACCCCCCCATCCCTCCAATAAAGAAAATATTCAGCTAGAACAGAAATAGTATAGCCTTTACTAAACTAACTCAGTTATGCATTTTTCCTTTTCCTAAGTTAACAAATGAAAGTTTCAATGTCACCGTCCAAAAGTGTCCGTTGTTCCCCCTTTAATCATACTCACTTCCAGGCTCTCATGGAGCTCTCTTGTCTCCATGGATGAAAGCTCTGACCTCCGTCACGCTCAGCAACTGATTCGTTCTCCGCTCGTTCTGAGATGTCCATGCGTCTCGAGTCAGCTCTCTCTCCACAATATCTCGATCCTCCATTAATACCTGAATCCCAAGATCTTTCAGTGTTGTCTGTGCCTCCCACAATGAGGGAAACACTCTTACACCAGTATTGTGCCGGGTATGGAGACTGGGCTCTGATGTTTTTTTCTTTCAGCTTTTTGATTACCTCTCACACTTTCTTTCTTTCCCTCTGCAAGTCAGGGGAGTAGTCTTGGTCGAAGAAAACCCTCCGGTCTTCATATTGAATGTCTCGTTGCTTCCATGCTTGCTGCAGTACCATCTGTTTCACACTAAAGTCCAGAAACCTCACAATTATAGACCTCGGTGGTGCTGTTGCATCCTTCGGCTTCGGGGCGAGCGCCCTGTGTGCTCGCTCCAGCCTAATCTCTACATCTCCTTGCAACTCGATCACAGTTTTCAGAAAGTCAGACACAAATGATGTCATATCTTTCTTTTCGGCCCCTTCTGGTATACCATAAAGCCTGATATTGTTGCGACGGAGTCTGTTTTCCATGTCATCACATTTAGCAGTCAAAGTAGCCTCTCGTCTTAGCAAGTAGCCCATAGCCTTCTCCTGTCGCATGCCTCTATCCTCTGTGTCGCTCACCCTGTTCTCTGCTTCGGCTAGCCTTTTCTCCAGACCCTCCATTTGTTGTTTTATGTCGCCCATGAATGATTCCAGTCTGTTTAGGGAAAGTTTCGTATCCCAAAAAGAGTCATTATTCTCTTGTCGAAGTTTCCTCAACTCCGTTAGCATCTCCGAATCGCAGCTAGCATCGCCATTCATTTTCAGTGGCGTAGCTTCTGCTAACGTTAGCTGCTTCAAACCCACTTTCATATCGTCGTTCTTTGCTGATTTTGTGTCTTTCTTGATCGCTCTCTGACTCGAACTCATCTTTTTAGAGGGTGTATCATGTAGTCGGGTGATCATTTGTCTGTTTTCATTCATTTCAAGGCTGTTTTAGTCATGGGTCTGGCGGAGCGGATAAATCAAGCGTCTGCTTAACTCATGACGTAGGCGGAAGTCTCCCACTATCATTAAATTTAAAAGAATGTATAAAGAAAAGGTTCAATGATGAATGTATTGAGTTAATCTAACTGATTGTATTTGATTGTTTCTATATTGTTGATCTATTTTTTGTTTTGTGAAAGAAAGGGAAAACAACAGGTTAGCCATCTTATTCTGTTAAACAGTCTCTTATGTTATAGGTAGGTATTATAAGTTTTCATCTTCCTGCTTCTGTTTGCTCATGAACAGTGTTTCAGTATTATGAGAAAATATGTCTTGTTGTGTATTATTGTGTTGAAACCAAACACTGAAATGAGCAAATATATCAAATATGAAATTAAATGAAATATATATCTCTTTAATCCATCCATCTGTGATGATACATCCTGTGGTTTGTCCGTCCATCATTCTCTCCATACCTCACCAACGTGTCTGTCCGGTTTACTTGCTATAAGTTAATTTATCAGCCATTTATTTGTGGATTCTAATAACTCAATTTGTACCTCTGTTTTATATCTCAATAGATGAATGGAGTCTTTAATCCCTCATCCCTCCTTTCTTCCACCCATTCATCTTTCCTTGTGTCAGTCACTCTATCTATCTGTCCTTCCCTAATCCAGCTACCTTCTTTGGTCCATCCATCATTCTGTCCATTTAAATCTGGCCCTTCATTTGTTTGCAGTTTTTGATTCCATCTACCAATCAGTCTATTGATCAATATGTCAAACCAACTATCTTCCATCGATCTGTTTGTAGTCGCCCGTCTGTCCTGACGTCCATTAATCCAGTGACATGTCCACATGTTGGTCAATCCACCAAACCCAACCGTCCACATCATCCACCATGTTCTTTCATTTGTCATCCATCGACCTCTCTTCAACCATTCTTAACTTTCCATCATCAGTCCATCCTTTTATTCTTCAGATCATCTCCTGCTTTTATTTTACTTTAAGAAGAAAGTGAAATAAGATGACTATTCTCTCTTTTTCTCCCCCCTCCTCAGACGAGGGGGGTGAGGAGGTCCTGACCAAGAAGGAGGAGGAGGAGAGGCGGATTGCAGAGATGGGCAGACCGACGCTGGGCGAGCACGTCAAAGTGGAGGTCATCATCGAGGAGTCGTACGAGTTCAAGGTGGGCTGATGTCATTCCTCAAACATAACCACATACAGTCAGATGTGAGGACAGATTATTCATCAGTGATGGAGCTGATATGTTTCCTGTGGCATCCTTCAGAGCACTGTGGATAAACTCCTGAAGAAGACCAACCTAGCCCTGGTGATCGGGACCAACAGCTGGAGAGAGCAGTTTGTGGACGCCATCACCGTCAGCTCCGGTGAGGACTGGACCCGAGTCACTTCTGTTTCTGTTTGTATCTGTTTCTGGGGTAGTACAAACCAGGACTAGGGGGGAGGGGATAACTTGATAACCCTGATATGAACCAGTTCTCCCTCTCTCCTGCCCCAGGTGACGATGACGATGAATGTGGCGAGGAGAAGATGCCCTCCTGTTTCGACTACGTCATGCACTTCCTCACCGTCTTCTGGAAGCTTCTGTTCGCCTTCGTTCCTCCCACAGATTACTGGAACGGCTGGGCCTGCTTCGTCGTCTCCATCTCCGGCATTGGCATGCTGACGGCGGTCATCGGTGATCTGGCGTCGCATTTCGGCTGCACCGTGGGCCTCAAAGACTCGGTCACTGCGGTGGTGTTTGTAGCTTTGGGAACATCGGTACCAGGTATAAAGTCACACTGTTCTCCTAAAGTACAGTATAATACATTCACTCTGCAGATGTAGTCCAAAGTAACTCTCCTTTGATGGATTCTCTCTGTTCAGGGGAACGTTTCACATTTAGTCTCGAACCCGTGCAGTGAGTGGTTGATCAAACTGTAAACTTTGTAGATCTGGTTAAAGGCTTTATATGTGATTTATTGATCCAGCAGATGTCGCCCTTGAGCACCAGCATGAAACCAAAACAACTCGCGCTGCATTGTTGTGTTAGCATGCTAATGCTAGCGATCTTTATTCTGCTGGTATCTTCACACTGCATGTAAATTTACCTGAAATGAGCGTGATCTAGAAACACAGTTAAGCAGTGAGTACAGTATGTTATTCTTCTTTTCTCTAGTCCCTCAATTAAACAACTTTTATACGTGAGGGGAGGAGTCAGCCGGCCGTCCCGGCAATGTAAACAAAGTGAAGATAGGACTCTGAAAACTCTGAAAACATCACAGACAGTGGGACTCGGGTGTTACACCCATTGTAGACAGTCATGACTCACAGAGTTATTTTCAGAGGAGAGACTTGATTTATATTTAAGTGTGAAAAATCACAAATAAAGCCTTTAAGAACCAAATACCAATATAGACACAAACATGGTTCTGGTTTTACTACATACAAATTGGGCGTGTTCAAACATATTTGCCACTAGGGGGGGCGCCGGCATGTTTCTGTCCCCTCCTGGCAGATCTCTGCCTCTGCAAAGTATACATGATACGATGCAGAATGATTCATAACATACAAACAGATATTAACCCTTTAATGAATCAACCTCCACACACACCAGATCCTAAATCTCTCTAAACATACCTCTTATATATTCTCCTCTTCCTCTCTCTTAGACACCTTCGCCAGTAAGGTGTCGGCCATCCAGGATCAGTATGCCGACGCCTCCATCGGCAACGTGACGGGTAGCAACGCTGTAAACGTCTTCCTGGGTATTGGCGTGGCGTGGTCGATCGCTGCCATCTACCACTGGACCCAGGGCCAACCCTTTAGGGTGGACCCGGGAACTCTAGCCTTCTCCGTCACCCTCTTCACCATCTTTGCCTTCATCTGCATCGGCGTCCTGATCTACCGCCGCCGGCCGGAGATCGGCGGAGAGCTTGGCGGACCCAAAGTCCCCAAAACCCTGACCACCTGCCTGTTCTTCAGCCTGTGGCTGATGTACATCGTCTTCTCCTCGTTGGAGGCCTACTGCCACATCCAGGGCTTCTAGTAGTTCTTACAGCGTCTGATGGCTTTCTAAAGGGTCCAGGCGTTCCTGTTCTCACAGGCTCTGATCATTTCTGTTCTTAGTCTGAATGTCTAAAAAGTCTAGAAGATGAGACAGGTTCTTCAAAGAGAGGTATCTGTTGGGTTTTTAGTCTACTCTGATTGGGACTTTTCTTATTCTAGATTTCTCTTTTTTTGTTTTCATTAAGTCTACAATTATGCATTAAAGTGTTAAGTCTGTAATAAGCCCCTCCCATTTTATGGACTTTCCTAGATTCCAGTAGGCTCTTACACTTTGAAGGGTCTGGATTAACCTCTGATGCTGGAGATACACTTAAGGTTCAACCTTAGGTTCCCATACACAACCTGCTGCATCATAGTTTAAATTTCTCACATACTTGGCTCTGCACTCAGAGGAAACCTTTAGTGCAGGGGTTCCCAACCTTTTCAGGTCTTGACCCCCAAAATAAGGGTGCCAGAGTTTTAGATATAATGTAGAGCACAGTCTGGCACATGCACTCGTAGGCCTATCCAAACACTGGTAACACTAAAGTAATTCTCATGAAGAGACTTTATCTGTTACACATGAATTGAAATAGAATCACTTTTCTATTTATATTTCACGACCACCTCGCTCTTGGTGGCTCAGTGATGGTTTATACGTCCGCAAATCTGTGTATTGTGTTTTATTTTGAAATTGACGCTCTGTGCATTTCCTTGTCTGACTTCCTGTCCTGGTCTGTTCAGCTTGTCCCGTCCTCCAATTTCCACAAACTTTGTGTGCCACTGTCCGACATTTTGGAGGACGTGCACAGCGGACGAGCCGAACAGACCCCGGGGGAAGGGAAGCAGCCATGATGCACACACGTTCACAAAGTTAAAAGTTTATCTCCAGCCTTATAATTCTGGAAGTCAGGTTTTCTCAGGATCTCAAGGATCCTGGAGGTTTTTGTTTTGGTAAATTGTTTTTAGTAATCTAAAGCTTGTAACATGTTCCTACTTTAGGTTTCTGACGGTTCTGATGGACATGAAACTGAGAAACGTCTGGATGAACTCTGCATGGTGTTTTTAATGATCTGACAGGTTTTTAAAATCTTTAAATGTACGGACTGTTAAAGGTGTTTTAAAGCTCTGAGAGGTTGCTGTTGGGATCTCGATGGACTTCTTAATGGTCCTTGAAACCTCTTTCTTACCCTGGACCCCAAACTCAGCTGAACCTTTACATCATGTTTAAAATTTTGATTTTATAATGTGAAGACTTTAAGCCACGCCCACAGGAGATCTTTTACCTGCAGGCGAATGGATTGGTAGTTTCTGCACTGAGTTTTAATTCTAGTTTATTTAGTGAGACCAGAATCCTGAGTTTTCAGTGAAGACCCTGAAGGTCTGTGAGACCCTGAACTCTTCAGAGACTTGAGCTGCTGCGTCAGTCGATATATTAAAGTGTATGTGTGTGTGTGAGTGCTTACGCAACCTCAAAGAACACGGCAAAGAAGAGACGCACGCCATTATGTTCTGTTCTGGTCTGTGATTGGTTGAAAGCCATTACCAGTGTCTCTTCTTCTAATATTAAAGAACAGTGATTGAAGTGTGTTTTCTTTTTATAAATCTTTCTCCTCTCTCATTGGTCAGAGCACTGGCGTAGTATTGAGGGGGGGGGTCCCTATTAGTCCTGAAATAAATGATGTTTGTTTGGATTTCTTTCTGAAACTGTTAAACAATAAATGAACAAGATCGTTTTAAATCTGTTTTTTTTTTTATTTAAACCACAATAAAGTTTTTACGGGTTCTTTCACAAAGTCAGTTATTAGACTTAGACTTAGACTTTCTTTATTGTCATTCAAACTTGTACTTTACAGTGCAGATAAGAACGAAATTTTGTTGCATTTAGCTAGTAGTAAAATAAGGTGAAGATATAAATAGATATAAAAAGAAAAACTATGAGTAAAATTACTATACAGATAAATATATTGCACGTTATATTGTGTTTTACAGTCCAGTGAGGTAGTCCTGTGTGGGGGTTTGAGGGGGAATGGAGGGATTATTTTTTCCTGTTCAAAAGTCTTATGGCCTGTGGGAAGAAGCTGTTACAGAACCTGGAAGTTCTGCTTCGGAGGCTGCAGAACCTCTTTCCAGAGTCCAGCAGTGAAAACAGTCCTTGGTGGGGGTGGGAGGTGTCTCTGCTGATTTTCTGAGCCCTGGTCAGACAGCGGATCTTTGCGATCTCCTGGATGGGAGGAAGTGGAGTCTTGATGATCTTTTCCGCCGTCCTCACTACTCTCTGCAGGGACTTCCAGTCGGAGGCACTGCAGGCTCCGGACCAGACAGAGAAGCAGTTTGTTATGATGCTCTCTATAGTGCCTCTGTAGAAGGTGGTGAGAATAGGAGGAGGGAGGTGTGCTCTCTTCATCCGACGCAGAAAGTGCATGTGCTGCTGCGCTTTTTTCACAAGAGCGCCGGTGTGAAGGGACCAGGTCAGAGTGTCTGTTATCTGCACCCCCAGGAACTTTGTGCTGCTAACTCTATCCACTGCTGTGCCGTTGATGAGGAGTGGTGTGTGGCTGGGCTGGCGCCTCCTGAAGTCGACGATGATCTCTTTGGTTTTATCGACGTTCAGGGCCAGGTTGTTGGTTCTGCACCAGTCAACCAGATGTTTCACCTCCTCTCTGTAGTCCATGTCGTTGTTGTCACGGATGAGGCCCACTACTGTTGTGTCGTCTGCAAACTTCACGATGTGGTTAGTAGTGGACCTGGCGCAGCAGTCATGGGTCATCAGGGTGAACAGCAGCGGACTCAGGACACAGCCCTGAGGGGAGCCGGTGCTCAGGGAGATGACACTGGAGGTGTTGTTGCCCACCCGCACAGACTGGGGTCTGTTGTGAGGAAGTCAAGCAGCCAGTTACATAGGGGGGTGCTGAAACCAAGGGGGGCCAGTTTGCTCACCAGATGCTGCGGGATGATTGTATTGAACGCTGAGCTGAAGTCCAGAAACAATATCCGCACATGTGTGTCCTTCTCTTCCAGATGTTGTAAGCCCAGGTGGAGTGCAGAGGAGATGGCATCCTCTGTGGAGCGGTTTGGGCGGTAAGCAAACTGGTACGGGTCGAATGTGGGGGGAAGTCTGGAGACAATGTGGTCCTTTACCAGCCTCTCAAAGCACTTCATCATGATGGGGGTTAGTGCTACAGGGCGGTAATCATTGAGCGAGGAGATTGTGGATTTTTTAGGCACTGGTATAATTGTAGCAGTCTTTAAACATGAAGGTACCACAGCCTGGATCAGCGAGGTGTTGAAGATGTCTGTGAGAACCCCAGCCAGCTGGTCAGCACATTCCTTCAGCACCCGTCCCGGTATGTCGTCAGGGCCCGCTGCTTTCCAGGTGTTCACTCTCCTCAGGGTTCTCCGGACATCAGCTGCGTCCAGGCTGATTGGCTGCTCATCGGAGTGAGGAATAGATTTCCTCGCTGGAGTGGTGTTGAGTGCCTCAAACCTCGCAAAGTAGTTGTTGAGGTCGTTGAGAAAGTTGAGAAGCCATATCGATACCTGTTTCGATACCACATACTTTTTATAATCTTTGTAGTTTGATAATGGAGTTTTATACGGACGTTTAAAGAGGGAGTGTCATACAGAGGTTTCATAACAGCGCTTTCCAAAAGTCGTTTTACAATTCAGACAACTTGCCCGCTTTTTCTGACGGACTCGTTCTTCTCTTACGTTCCCTGATTATAGAATAATCTTCAACACTTTCTAACAGTTACTAAAATAAAATAAATGGTGTCCTTTAAGATGTGATTAATGGAAATGTCATGGCGGTGTGGTTACAGTCGTATCTCAGGCTGTGGGGGAGGGGCCTAATGTGAGACCTGTTCATGGGGACCAGATAAATCCTGGAGATGCTCCGGGGTCAGCGTCCATCAGAAGTAAAAGAAATATAAACATAAACTCACACAGAGCAAAAAGACTTCCTCTCTACATTAGTTTATTGTTTCAAACATCCAGTAAGTTCAGTTACATGTTTGACAAACTGCTCACAGTTTAAAGGGTTAAAAGTTCTGCAGCAGTGAACAAAGACAGACGACACAAACTACACAAACTACACGAAAACACACAAAACTAAAAAATCTAATCCTGATCAAACAGCAGCTGGAGAACTGTTGAAATATAAAAAACCTTTTGCTCTTTAATAAAAATATGAAGGTTTAAAATATCTGTTCGGATGTTTTTCCCGTTCAGTGAATCTTTTATTTTGGGGTCAGTGTGACTTAGAGCCTGATCACACCGAGACTTAAAGGTCCTATATTCTGCTTTTTTCTGGTTTTATCTGCTCTTTAGTGTGTTTTCCAAGTGTCCTGTGCATGTTTAGACACATCTATGTGCAAAAAGTCCGCGGAAACGCGGCTTCTCCTACCTCCTCCTGTTAGCTGTAGCATTAGCTGCATGTAACGCTCGGTTCTAGCCCCCCTCGAAAAAAATTTGTCAGTGTGACGTCTTGTCAGTGTGAGATCACTGATCTAAGCCCATTGGCTCGTTGTGGCCCCAGCAGCTCATGTTGCACGCCCGTTAACTTCTGTAGCACGCCCACGATATGCCGTAGCCTGCGGTAGCACAGTAGTGCTAACGTGCTAATGTTTATGCTCCCCTCGCACGGAGCCAGAGTGGCTGCATTCCCAATATGGTAAAAGGGGCGGGACATTTCTGAGAACCGTGCTGAGCTACTGACCAATTACGGCAGAGCCGACAGGCCGACCAATCAGATCAGACTTGGCCCACGTGGGGTCTCTGAATGTGGTCACTTCAGAGCCTTAGAGAGAGAGTCAGAAGAGAGCCGGTGCACGGAGCAGCAGTTCATGAAAACAGACACTTTGTTAGAACTATTGTGAACAAACTTTAGTAGATACATAGATTAAATATATGAACCCCAAACAGGGCAGAATATGACCTCTTTAAGGCGCATTCACTCCAAAATCTCCTGAATGCATCTCGGGAGAAACAGCTGGGAGCCACGTGTGCATAAGTGGGTAAAAATGGATCAGAGCAAACAGAGAGGGTTTGTTCTCCTGTGCGCTCCACTGGTCATCAGGGTGGTGGTCTTCACTTCTCTGTGAAGGTCAGACGCTTCGGGTCCTGCAGCTTTATGCTGAACTGGGAAAATCTGCTTTTAGCTCTTTTGCATTTTTAGCCATTTCTTCACCACAGTGTAGTCGTTTTAATTGTGCTTTTCTTCTATCTCAACGTTTTTGTAAACAAAGGAAATCAATCATTTCCAAGGAAATAAATAAATAAATAATAACTGTTAACATCCATCCATACATTTTCATCCCTCTACCAAGCAACAATCTACAGCTCCTCCTGAATGTCTAAGACCCTCCCCCTGGATGACAAAGCCCCTCCCCCTCTCTCTAACGTTGAGCCCAGACGCCCTCCAGAGGAAACTTATTCTTTAGTTCACTACTCTTCCATTTATGACCACAGGTGAGGGCTGGAACAAAGATCGAGCGGTGAATCGAGAGCTTTTCCTTCAGGCTCAGCTCGCTCTTCACTCTCACGCTCCATCTTACCCTCACTGTGAGCGAGACCCCGAGACACTTCAGATCCTTTTATCATTATAAATATAATCAAAAAAACACACACTTGAGGCTGTGTACACTATTTACAGTAATAAATATAAATGATTAAAAAGATGCTAGAAATATTTATAACAGAATGAGACTGAAGGTGGGGGCGGGGTTACGGGTGGGGGCGGGGTTACAGGTGGGAGGAGGAGGTGAGGGAGCAGGGTTTGTTGTAGCCGAAGATCCCGACAGGAAAGTGTTTGACATGAGTCGGCCACTGAGCCGCCAGCTGGAAAAACTTCACATCGTTCCACTCGGCTCCGTCTATAGAGACTGACAGAGAGAGAGAGAGACACAGAGAGAGAGAGAGAGAGAGAGACAGAAAGAGAGACAGAGAGAGAGAGAGAGAGAGAGAGAGAGAGAGAGACAGAGAGAGAGAGAGAGACAGAAGAGAGACAGAGAGAGAGAGAGAGAGAGAGAGAGACAGAGAGAGAGAGAGACACAGAGAGAGAGAGACAGAGAGAGAGAGAGAGAGAGAGAGACACGAGAGAGAGAGAGAGAGAGACAGAAAGAGAGACAGAGAGAGAGAGAGACACAGAGAGAGAGAGAGAGAGAGACAGAGAAGAGAGACAGAGAGAGAGAGAGAGAGAGAGAGAGAGAGAGAGAGAGAGAGAGAAAGAGAGAGAGAGAGAGAGAGAGAGAGAGAGAGAGAGAGAGACACAAGAGAGCAGAGAGACAGAAAGAGAGACAGAGAGAGAGAGAGAGAGAGACAGAAAGAGAGACAGAGAGAGAGAGAGAGACAGAGAGAGAGAGAGACAGAGAGAGACAGAAAGAGAGACAGAGAGAGAGAACAGA